GCCTGAAACTCTCAGACTGAAGAAGTCTCTTGGAGGAGAGACGAAACGTTTCATTAGAGAAGAACCGTCCAGAGGACCTATACTATTTTTTTCTTTGATTTTCTACCTGGATTACTGAGATGCATCAGGACATCTAAAGCTTGATGTTTGTGTTCTATTTAAGTGCTTGATTGATAATTAATGAAGCTCGAAGCTCTTGTTGTTGTTGGTTGTTAAATTTATAGGAAATTGATTGCTCACAATTAAGTGTACTGTAGTGGTTTTATGTGATTATGTAAAATAAACGATCACATTTATTTATGGATCAAATCAAAATTCACTGACTGAAGCCACTGTTCATTTTAGGATTCATTTTAAAGTTCTTTTATTTGTTTTTAAAGCATTAAATGGTCTTGCCCCACATTATCTCACTGAGCTACTGCAACCCTATACCCCCTCTCGTTCTCTCAGGTCAGCAGACCAGCTGCTCCTGAGAATCCCAAAAACTAAACGTAAGCTTAGAGAGGATCATGTCTTCTCTACTGCTGCTCTTAAACTGTGGAACAACCTGTCTTTGGGCAGCAGACAGGCTACTTCCCTGACGACTTTTAAAATGTTACTTAAGACCCATCTCTTCTCTTTGGCTTTTGGCTCCGAGATGTTGACTTATTAGTTAGTTTGACATTGTTTTAATTGGTTTTCTGTGTTTGTTTTATTGTATAGTTTATTTTTATATTAGGCATTTATTATTCACTGTCACTGTGTGATTGTGACTGTACAGCACTTTGGTCCTATGGTTATTTAAGTGCTTTACAAATAAAGTTGGTATGGTACTTATTGTGTGTCCATTCACTTTGCACTGGAAGAATATTTACCGAAAATGAAATGATCCTTGCTAAAATACTTTCCTTATAACCCTGTTATACGAGGTGTAGGTGTGAATCCTACAACCCAAACTCAGCCGGTCGAGGCAGATGGTCTCCTGTCCTGAGCCTGGTTCTGCTGGAGGTTTCTTCCTGATTAGCAGGGAGTTTTTCCTCTGCTGCTCAGGATGGAGACTGTGACGAAGCAAAGATTCAGCGCAGTCTGCTGGCTTCTTTACATTTATTGTTTTTTATGTACAGTACCCTGAGACAACAGTTGTTGTGACTTGGTGCTATATAAATAAACTGAATTGAATTGATTGAATTGAATTTAAAAGTGCTTAGATGAAAACGGATCCACAAATAATTTGTTCAGCACTTGTTGCCTCTGAGAAAAAAAGTCCTGGGTTCAAGACCCAAGATGGGCCTGTGGTTTTTCTGTTTGCTTGTTCTCTGAGTCTGAGAACAAGCACCAGGCCTGAGGTAGTACATGAGGCATTTCCCTGTCTCATACCTGAGATCTGATGACTTCTTCTATCTTTTATGTGCAGTCTATAGTTTATTACTCTTATAAATCGTGTTTCCATCCAGTTGTAGAGTATATTTTTATCAAACTTTTCAAAATTTGCAAAAAATTAAATAAATAAAAATTTGAATCTAGACTGTTTCCATCTNGGGAGGTGTTGCCCATGATGAGGCAGCTCAGCTTGGAGACACAGCCCAGAGGAGGAGCTGGTCCTAAAAGGAGGTTCTAGTCCCAACCTGTGGTTTCTGCCCCCCTGCCTGCTGCCTCAGGACACTACAGGGTTTGTCAAACATGTATGAATGAGTCAAAGTAAGACTCTGGGCTTGTTTTTGATGAGAGGAGAACATTATAACATGATATAAAACTCAAAAAAGTTGATTTTACATGATATAGCTCCTTTAAGTAAACCACTGACCAGTGCAGACATTTTGTGTTATTTTGTTTATATTTTAACATAGTTAATGGTCACCATAAACAGTGAGACGGATCAGTAAGTGAAGGATCAACCTGTACCTCTCAGCTCAGTGAGAATGTCTATCTTCTGATCCAGGATCTGCTCCAGTTGAGTTGCATATGATTCAACATCATAGTCCACTTCTTCTGTCATCTCTAAAAGCACCTTCTCGTCTTCCAGCCAGCGAATCGACTCCTGGAAACAACACACCACAGTACATGTGACATGTTTCAACTTTTTATGGCGCTCTTAAGTCAAGATGTATGTTTGAAGTTGATATTCTCCAGAATTTCCCTTTTATGTTGTCTGTGCATAAAAATGATCAATTTGTATTGTTTTATTTTAATCATCAGGTTTGTTAGTCCAAGCTTGAAACTGCTGTACCTGAAACACCACCCTGTGGTCCTCCAGCACCTGCTCCTCCATCTCCACCAGCTGAGAAACCACTTCATGGAAGGTGAACAGCTGTGGAGAAACTTCCTCCTCCTGAAATAAATAATAAATATAAAATGCTTTTTAGTTATTGTTGTTGACAAAGGCTGTTTTTTTAAAAACTGACTGTTTACCTCATAACAGATTCAGTGTAGAGCTAACACAAATATAAATGCTGATGTTTGCTGATGTTTTCCTGTTCTAGCTAAAAGCATTAAAGTAACGTTAGTTGTGAAAGAAAAGCCCTGGAAGTGCTGTTGAAGCTGAGTTGAAATACACAGAAATATGGTGTGTATTCCTTTAACACACCACCTTTACAGCTTTAAACTAACATCATTTACTCATGACAAATAACGGCATTGTAATCGTTTTACATAAACACTGTAAATTATGTTCAGTGTATGTTTGGATTTTCTGTGCAAAAATCTTATTTATAAATGAATCTTTATGGTTTAAGTTGATGAAATATCAATGATTTACTTGTTTGGATCATATTGCCGATGTTTAAATTTGAAGTAATTCATTCTTTCAGTTAAAGGCACAGTGTGTAGGATTTTATCAAGTCTTTTAGCTGAAATTGAGATAATCACTGATGACAATAATAAAAACATATCTAATCATTGCAGACAAAGACCTTGTTTTATTATTTTTACCTTATAAAAAGCTGTTTATATCTCCATGGTCGCGGGTCGCCACTACAGGCAGCCGCCATCTTGTCTACGAAGGCTCATGAAGGACAAACTGCGGTGGCGGCGTCATAAACGTTTTTAGTTTCCTCTAACTCTGCCTCTTCCTCTATCAGTAATATTGACGGATGAATCTGACAATGGAGATAAATCAGCCTTATCTGTCTACAGTGAAGTTGTAACTTTGCTACATTATCTTGTTTTTCTTACATAAAACATTTAGAT